CTACCTCCTTTTTTTTCCTCTAAAGATTTATTTATTTCAAAGGCAGAGTTACAGAGAAAAAGGAAGAGACAGAGATTTTCCATCTGCTAGTTCACTCCCCAAATGGTCACAACACCCAGGGCTGGACCAGGTTGAAGTCAAGAGTCAGGAACTCCACCCTGGTCTCCCACATGAGTTACAGAGCCAAATTACTTGAGCTACCTTCTATGCCTTCCCAGGCACATAAGCAGAAAGCTGGATTGGAAGCTGTGTACCGAACACTATCTAGCATTCTGATATGGGACGTCACAGAGGGAAGCAGTAGCTTAAGCCCCTGCTTAAGAAGCCCCACAAGAATTACTTGTGCTCATGATTATAATTTATTTACCACCTTTGGCACTGACAGCTTCATTTTTGGTCATAACAAAACCTCAGATTTCTGCCTACATTTTTTACTTGATAAACCTTAATAATTTTATTTACAAAATTTAATAACTGTGTAAGTTAAATAACATCTTCTTCAAAAATCACCCAGAACTTCTGACAGGTAGGTATTTTCCCAGATGCATGAGTCAGTAACATCAACCCTCTCAGAGACTGAGAGTCTTGGCAATTTTGCTGTCTTTATTTCTGGAACATGTTAGACAATCTTTACTGAGACACTGCTCATTTCAAAGCTGTATTATATGGTCATACATTGTAGACATTTTAAGCTACAAATAGGGAAACAAATTCAGCTAAAATTTCAATCCCACATGTGCTACTAACATCAACTGAAATGATAACTAAATAAAAGTTAAATTTTAGAAATATCAAGTATTGATGACTACTGATATTTCAGAATTCACTTGCCTGATGGCTAAAATTTCTTTTGAAAAGATATATTTTGATTCCAAAAATGTTAAAAATTCATGTGTTTTAAAAGCAAGGAAAGTAAGTTATTGTTAAGTCTATCACGTATAAACATTGCTCCAAATGTTAGTAGAATCCAGTGGCTTATAGCAGTTCTCAATTTGGGGGGGAGGGTTGTCCCAGAATCCTTTCATTAAAAAATTTACTTAATAATTTATTTTTAAAATAAATTCATTATGTTAACATAAATGATATTTTAAAATGAAAATGGTACTCTCCCAAATCAAAAATTTACTTAGGATTGCATTTTATACTTTTTTCCAAATCTCATAATTGTTTCCACAGCCAATGTGATGCTGAAAAACTTAACTGAATATTCCTAAGAGAAAGACTTGAAGATGGCAGATTCTGTCTTATGAGCAATCCACAGAATAGTTTTGACCCCATGCACTCCCTTACAAGATCCCCAGACTGGGGCCGGCACCATGGCATAGTAGGTTAATCCTCCGCCTGCGGCATCGGCATCCCATATGGGCACCAGTTATAGTCCCGGCTGCTCCTCTTCCAATCCAGCTCTCTGCTGTGGCCTGGGAAAGCAGTACAAGATGGCCCAAGGACTTGGGCCCCTGCACCCATGTGAGAGACCTGGAAGAAGCTCCTGGCTCCTGATCAGCGCAGCTCCAGCCGTTGCAGCCATTTGGGGAGTGAACCAACAGAAGGAAGACCTCTCTCTCTGTCTCTCCCTCTCACTGTCTGCAACTCTACCTCTCAAATAAATATGTTTGCTCATGGACTCTAGAGAGACAGAGTGCCTGGTTGAAGTCACTTACTAGCTATGTTTAAACCTTATTACCTCCCTAACTGGTTATACTGAAGTCCTCTGTGCCTTATTTCTCTCATTTCAAAACTGAGAATAACAATGCCACCTACTTCACGGAGTTAGTGTATACTTAGAACATTTTTTATCACAAGGGTAATACTACATAAATGTTTGGTATGAATATTACATAATTAATCTTCATGATTTCATGATACTATGCACTATGAAGTAGCCTCTTTTATTCTAATCAATAGATAGGAAAATGTAAGTATAGTGAGGCTGAGTGACCTATACAAGTAGGCACAGTGTAAGTGGCAGAACTCATACTTGAATTTAACATCTACTTTAAAATCTAGAGTTGAAAAGGCACTATTTGGGGACAATATTCTAGTGCAGTGGGTTAAATCACCACTTATAGCACTTGCATCCCATATGAGTACAGGTTCAAGTCCCAGCTGCTCCACTTCTGATCCAGCTCCCTGCTAATGTGTCTGGAGAAGCAACAGAAGATGGCCCAAGAAACCAGTGTTGTGGTATAGCAGGTTATATACCTCTGCCTGTAAGTCCCTGTACCCATGTGGGAGACTCAGAAAAAGCTCCAGGCTCCTAGCTTTGGCCCAACTCTGCCATCCAGGCCATTTGAGGAGTGAACCAGTGGATGAAAGATCTCTCTTTCTCTGCCTTTCTAATAAATAAAATATAAAAAGAAAGAAAGAAAGAAAGAAAGAAAGAAAGAAAGAAAGAAAGAAAGAAAGAGAGAGAGAGAGAGAGAGAGAGAGAGAGAGAGAGGGAGGGAGGGAGGGAGGGAGGGAGGGAGGGAGGGAGGGAGGGAGGGAGGGAGGGAAGGAAGGAAGGAAGGAAGGAAGGAAGGAAGGAAGGAAGGAAGGAAGGAAGGAAGATATGACCTTACCTTCATCTGCAAACTAAAATAATATTGGTCACAGAAAAAATTTGCAAACATATATTTCCTAACTAGCTTCAGTATCTTAGTATGTAAAGGTAGGTATAAAACCCAGCTATAATGTAAGCTTTCTACTATACAACCAGACAAAAGCAGATTCTGAAGATCATTTCTTCTATTATATATTATATCCACTCCATTAGTTGGTATGTGAAAACTATTATTTAAAAGTAAGAACTCAGCTGACAGGGGTAAGCTTTTGGTGCAGCAGTTAAGCCACCACACTCCTTTTGGAGTGCCTAGGTTTGAGTCCTGGCCGTTTCCAATTCTAGCTTCCTGCTAGTGGGCACTCTAGGAGGAAGCAGTGATGGTTCAAGTAGTGAAGTCCCTACCATGCACATGAGACACCTGGATTGAGTTCTAGGCTGCTGCCATCAGCCTGGCCCACCCCAGCTACTGCAGCCATCTGGAAGTGAATCAGTGGGTGATAGATATCTTTGTCTCTATGCTTTAAAAACAAAAAGAAAGCTTCAAGCTGATATTCCATCATGCAGCTCAATTTAGACCCATACTGCCTCACTTCCAGAGATTAAAACAAAGTAGAGACAGTATCTCAGAAAATAATGAACACATCTTTCATATATTATTATAGAAAATACTATCAATATAATTATTTAATTCGGAGGACAATTTGGAGGCATTTTGTATGGAGGTAAAGTATTGACATTATTCATACATTCTTTCAATTAATATTTCTTTAAAAAAAAAGATTTATTTGAAAGGTAGTTTCAAAGGCAGAAGCAGAGAGAGAGAGAGAGGGGTCTTCCATCTGCTAGGTCACTCCTCAAATAGCAGCAATGGATGGAGCTGAGCCAATCTGAAACTAGGAGCCTGGAGCTTCTTCTGGGTCTCCCACACGGGTGCAGGGGCCCAAGGACTTGGGCCATCGTCTACTGCTTTCCCAGACCAGAGCAGAGAGCTAGATCAGAAGCGGAGCAGCTGGGACTTGAACCGGCACTCAAATGGGATGCTAGCACTTCAGGGGGTGGCTTTACCCGCTATGCCACAGCGCTGGCCCCAATCAACTGATATTTCTTGAATACCAATTGTATGCTGGGCACTAAGATGCTAAAGATACAAAAGTGAGTAAAACTAACCACACAATACGTGCTCTTGAGGGTTTCTAGTAGATCAAAATTACTGGCTAAACAAAGCTATTAAATTATTAAGGCAACATACAAAATAGCCAATAATGGTTTACTGCAGCAAAATTTTAAATTTGGTCAACAACTCTGAAGATACTTTAAAACCTAAGTTAAGGAGCAGATGCGGAGTTTCTCTGTGCTACACAGGGACTGACAATGGATGCCCAGAAAGACGTTCAGCCCCCAAAGCAGCAGCCAATGATATATATTTGTGGAGAATGTCACACTGAAAATGAAATAAAATCCAGGGATCCAATCAGATGCAGAGAATGTGGATACAGAATAATGTACAAGAAAAGGACAAAAAGATTGGTGGTCTTTGATGTGCGTTGAAATGTGCATTCAGAAGAATATCTTCATTTGTACTTGCATTTGCTGTTAGTGTTTCTCATTGTTGTATGGCTTTTGGTTTAGCATCTTTTTGAACTACATATGATTTCATTTTGAACCATATTGTATTTAGGTATCTTTTAATGTAAAGAAGTTAAATTACATGACTTATAATTTAATTTTATTGTTTATGTAATGTGACACAAATGAAGGTTAAAATTACTTTCTCAAACTATGCTTGCAAGCAGAACCTAGAATCATCTGGGGTCCTTGTGAAAAATGCAGATTTTTAGAGCCCTCTGAAAGTCTAATTAAATAAATTCCTTGGAAATCACGTTTTGGTTATAGCTTTTTGTGTTTATTTACGACAACAAAAAAAACCTAAGTTAAAAGTTATGCATTTAAGACATGCTATTATTATAAAAACTAAATTTCTTATATATAAAAAAAGCTAAAGCTGCATTGCTTAATGGAATAGCTACTGGTCACAAATGGTTATTTAAAATAATTAAAGTCAAATGAAATTAAAAATTTAAAGATTCAATTCCTTAGTTACACCACCCACATATCAAGTGCCCAGCAGCGACACGCAGCTAGTTTTCCAGACTGGACTGCACAGATACAGAACACAGCTACATCACAGAAGTTCTAATGGGCATAACTGATCTAGATGGAGCCAGTAATGCATTATGCTGAATACATTCAATAAATGTAAAGTTTAGGTAACAAAGTTTTTAAAACACAATTATTGAAAAAAAGGAAATCTTTCAAAGACAATAAATGAGATGTGATTATTTAGGTTAAATTTTTTAATAAATAGGAAAAAGAAAACATTACCAAAAATGCTAATGTATTTAACTATATGGGAAACGGATTCTTTTATTTTTAAAAAAGTTAAAAGACTTGGTTTTACCTGTATTAAGGGTCAATTTTCTAAAGGAGGAGGTGGCAGAGGAATGAGGCAGAGTTCAATTGTGGAATTCATTTGTTGAGAGTTAAATATTTTCCAGCTCTATAAAAAATAAAAATGTAAAACTGTGAAATATTGAAATAGTATTCTGAAGAAGGTAACACCAACAAGAAACAGTTTTAATAAGATATTTATAATACAAGTTAGTTTTTAAAAATAATTATGGATCCAAAATTTCCCATAAGCAATATATTTAAGTACCTTTATCAAATCTAATAAACATATTTTAGAAACAAAAAGAATCTGAATTTTAGTTCCAAATTTACCATTAAATTATCTGAAAGACCTTTAGGTAGGTTACTTAAATTATTTAGAGTCTCACTTGAATAATTTATAAAATTTAGTCCCTGCTAAACAAAAAATCTATGACTAACTTTTGAAACATGATACAATGATCTCTTCCTCATACACACACCCACATTAAAAAAACTCTTCATGGGGCCGGTGCTGTGGTACAGCGGGTTAAAGCCACAGCTTGCAACACTGGCATCCCATATAGGCACTGGTTTGAGTCCCAGCTGCTCCACTTCCAATCCAGCTCCTGGCTAATGCACATGGAAAAAGTAGCAGAAGATGCCCCAAGTGTTTAGGACCTTGCATCCACGTGGGAGACTTGGAAGAAGCTCCTTGCTTCGGATCAGCTCAGCTCTAGCCATTGTGACCATTTGGGGAGTGAACCAGCAAATGGAAGACCTTTCTGTCTCTACCTCTCTCTGTAACTTTCGAATAAATTTAAAAATTAAAAAACTCTTCATTGAAATTTTAATATACAGTATAAAAATCAAGCTTCAATAGGTATCAAAGGCTACAAATAATTTTTTTTTAATTATTTTATTTATTTGAAAGACAGAATTACAGAGAGGCAGAGGCAGAGAGAGAGGAAGGTCTTCCATCCGCTGGTTCACTCCCCAAATGGTCACAATGGCCAGAGCTGAGCTGATCTGAAGCCAGGAGCCTCTTCTGAGTCTTCCACGTGGGTGCAGGGGCTCAAGGACTTAGGCCACCTTCTGCTGCTTTCCCAGGCCATAACAGGGAACTGGACTGGAAGTGGAGCAGCCAGAACTCGAACTGGTGCTCATATGGGATGCTAGTGCTGCAAGCCAGAGCTTTAACCTGCTGCGCCACAGCGCAGGCTCCTACAAGTCCTTTTTGATAAGTTTCACATACATGAAAATTATTACTTAAGGAAAACAAACAAACAAACAGGGACCAGCGCTGTGGCATAGTAGGTTAAGCATCTTCCTGCAGCAGAATCCCATATGGGCCCTGGTTCGTGTCCCAGCTGCTTCTCTTCCATTCCAGCTCTCTGCTTATTTCTTATGGCCTATAATATGGCCCAAGTGCTTGGGACCCTGCACTTACCTGGGGGGCCTGGAGGAAGCTCCTGGCTCTTGGCTTCACATCAGCCCAGCTCTGGCAGTTGTGGCCATCTGGGGAGTGAACCAGTGGATGGAAGGCCTCTCTGTCTCTTAAGTAAATAAATAAACCTTTTTTTAAAATGAACATTCTATTATTTAAAATATTTATTTATTTGAAAAATTTGGTTCACTATGTCAAATGCCCACAACTGCCAGACTAACGGCAGAAGCCAGGAATTCAATCTGGGACTGCCACATGGGTGGCAGGAACAGAAGTACTCGAGCCATCACCTGCTGCCTCCCAGAGTGCACATTAGCAGGAAGCTGAAATTCAAAGCTGGGATTCCAAGCCAGGCACTCCGCTATGGGGATCCAATCATTCCAAGCAGCAACTTAACTGCTGCACCAAATACTGCCTGTTTCTTAAGTATTTGACATAAAAACACATTAAGTATTCTGGTCAGAAAGAATTGTTTTCAAATGGCTAAAAATAGAGACTTTTTTAAGAAACTTTTTTTTTTTTTTTTTTTTTGGACAGGAAGAGTTAGTGAGAGAGAGAGACAGAGAGAAAGGTCTTCTTTCCATTTGTTCACCCCGCAAATGGCCACTACACCCCGATCTGCAGCCAGGAGCCAGGTGCTTCCTCCTGGTCTCCCATGCGGGTGCAGGGCCCAAGCACTTGGGCCATCCTCCACTGTACTCCCGGACCACAGCAGAGAGCTGGACTGGAAAAGGAGCTACCAGGACAGAACTGGCGCCCCAACCGAGACTAGAACCCAGTGTGCCAGCACCAAGGGGGAGGATTAGCCTAGTGAGCCGGGGCTAGAAACTTTTTTTAGAAAGAAATTTTCATGTATTTGCTGACCACATTACACTCTACTTCTTTGATTCAAAGTTGTATCATAGTTTAAAAAAAATCTGCAACATTTAAAAAACACTAAAATATGTTCATTAACAAAATAAATTACATTATCATTGTAAAAGCATTCAGTATTTTTTAAACTGGAGATGCGTCAGAACTCCCTACTCTAACCACAGCAGCTGACTTTTTGTCTCACTTTTTTTAAGTTTTTTATTAATTTATTTGAGAGGTAAAGTTACAGACAAAGAAACAGAGAAAGGTCTTTATTTCTTAAATAAACACAAAAAGCTATAACCAAAACAAAACAAACTGATAAAATGGACTACATTAAATCTGCCATCAAAAGATAGATTTAGAAAGGTCTTCTATCCACTGGTTCACTCCCCAAATGGACACAATGGCTGGAGCTGGGCCTATCTGAAGCCAGGAGCCAGGAGCTTCCTTTGGGTCTCCCACATGGTTGCAGGGGCCCAAGCACCTGGGACATCCTCTACTGCTTTCCCAGGCCGTAGCAGAGAGCTGGATCAGAGGAGGAACAGCTGGGACACAAACGGGCACCCACATGGATGCCGGGGCCGCAGAGGTTTAGCCTACTTTGCTACAGCACTGCTTCCCCCAACTTTTTTTTTTTTTAAGTTTATTTATTTGAAAGGCAGAATTACAGAGGGGGTAGAGGGGAAGCTTCCATTCCCTGGTTCACTCCCCAGATGGCCACAATGGCCACAGATGGGCCAGGCCAAAGCCAGAAGCCTGGAACTTCATCCAGGTCTCCCACATAGGTGGCAGGGTCCCAAGTACTTGAACCATCATTGTTGCTTTCCCAGTTGCATTAGCAGGAAGCTGGATCAGAAGTGGAGTAGTTGGGAGGATGCTGGTATTATTGGTGGCTTAACAGACTGTGATACAACTCCAGCCCCCAACTTTTCATCTCTTATACACTGGGATTTCATGTGAGATTTTCTTTTTATGAAGACTTTACAGTGGGGAGAAATCTTGAAAAGCACATAACAGAATTCTGGAAATATACATTAGACACTGATAACACTTTGGAAAGAGGTACATGAGATCAAGAAAATTGGGTGGGAATGAGATTGACCATCTTGAAGCATCAAGAGAAATGCCAGATTTTTGAAAAAGTATAGGCAAGTAAGCTAGAGAGCTATGCTCTAGAAATGAGTCTTCCACAATTTTTCAGGGCTAAGGAGACACATACTCATAGTGATAAGTAAATATAAAAATCTAGGGTAAATGAAAGGAAAACTGAGTTTCATTAAACTTTAACAAACTAAACCAACTTAATCTCTGATGGGAGGTAATCAGTCCTTCACACATTTGTACAACAGAGAACACTGAAAACCCTATGAGGAATATAACACTATCTGGAGTCCCTACCGGGTTCTTTATATAAAAAGTCTGGCAACAACAAAAAATCCCAAAACAAACAAAGTTAAAAGACAATATGACCAATAAGTAGAAGAAAACTAGACAAAGGAATCAGATCCACAGATGATCCAGTAATGGAGCTAACATACAAGGAAAATTATTTAAACTTCTAGTTAACATAATTAAGAGTGAAAATGATCAATGAAAAAAAATTTTTTTTTACAGTCAGAGTTAGACAGTGAGAGAGAGAGACAGAGAGAAAGGTCTTCCTTTTCCATTGGTTCACCCTCCAAATGGCTGCTATGGCCAGCACGTTGCACCGATCCAAAGCCAGGAGCCAAGTGCTTCCTCCTGGTCTCCCATGAGGGTGCAGTGCCCAAGGACTTGGGCCATCCTCCACTGCCTGGCCGGGCCACAGCAGAGAGCTGGACTGGAAGAGGAGCAACTGGGACAGAACCGGTGCCTCAACCGGGACTAGAACCCGGGGTGCTGGCGCCGCAGGTGGAGGATTAGCCTAGTGAGCTGCGGCGCCAGCTGAAAATAATTTTTAAATGTTTATTTAAGCATTTTTATTTAGAGAGAGATCTTCCACCCACTGGAAGAATGCCCACAACAGTTAGAATTGAACAAGGCCAAAGCCAGGAGCCAGGAACTCCATCTGAGTCACTCAATGGCAAATGGGAAGTGAGCCAGCAGATGGAAGATTTTCTCTCTCACACCACCCTACCCTACCATGTAACTCTGACTTTCAAATAAAAAATAGATAAATCTTTAAAAAAAAGGAAGAAATCCCAAGATTTAAGATGCTCTGCTAACTCCAAGCAGGATATATTAAAAGAAAACCACCCTTAAGAAAGACATCATCAAAGTAAGGAGGGAGGGAAAAAAATCATCAAAGCAGTCATCGGGTGGGGAGGAGCTTATCCTTAAAAAAATCTGACAGATTTCGCAAATAATAGGAGCTAGAATACAACAGAAAGACACTGCTAAAGGCCAAAAAGAAAATAACTGCTAATCTAGAATACCATACCCAACAAAAATTAAGATGAAATAAAAATGTTTGCAAAAAAATAATACTGAGGGAATTTCTCATCATTAAGCTTGTACTAAAAGAAAATTAAGGGAGTTATTCAGGCAGAAGGAAATCATTCTTGATTATAAACACAAAAAGACAGGAAGGAATAAATAATATCAAACATGGTAATTATGTAAGGAAATAAGTTAACTGATTGTTCAAAACAACTGAAATGTCTGGTGAGGTTTAAAGGTTCTAAGATTTTAGTAGTTATAGTAAAATCATTTGTATTACACTGTAGTAATGAAATAATTTTTATGATAACCATTAAAACCAAGTATCAAGTTAGAGAAAAAATGTAATATTTAATCTAAAAGTAGGCAAGAAAGTAGAAAAGAAATAACAGATGGGCCAAATGGCAAACAATAAAATTATCATATAAACCCAACTTTAAGAGTAATTATATTAAATATATAGATAAAATACTTCAACTAAAAGACTAGGCTTGCAGACTGAATTAAACAAAGAGAAGCATAGTCCTTAAAAAGAACACACTTTAAATATGTTCACAGAAAAACTAAAAGTAGAGGATGAAAAAAAAAAACATGTAAATTAACCAAAAGAAGACTGATATATTCTGTTACTTTCAAAGAAGAATGAAGCTAAGGCAAGAATCCTTATCATAGACAAAAGGCCTGTTAAACCATAATGGTAAATGGCATCCAATAATCTCAAAAATATGTAAAGAAAAAATTAACAGATTTAAATGGAGAAACTGACAAAATCATAGCATAGTTGGAGACCTTAATACACCTTCTCAGCAGTTGACATAACCAAAACTCAGTAAGATCTGGACAATGACCTAAACGACCAATGCAGAATATTGTACTCAGCAACAACAAAATTCTCATTCTTTTCAAAAGTATATATAACACTTACCAAAACTAAGCACATACTGGGCCATAAGAAAAGTCCCAGCACACTTAAAACAAGATGACACTATATATAGTGTATTCTCTAACCACAACAAAAGTAAGCTAGAAATCACTGATGACAGAGACAACATTAAACAAAAACCTACAAAAACAGAAACCACCTGAAAATTTAAAATTACATTTCCATATAATCTACGGGTCAAAGAGAAACATCAGAACAGAAATTAGAAAATATGCTGAACTGAGTACTAATGAATACAACACATCAAAACTTGTGAGATGCAGCTACAGCCTGAATTGCAAACGCAGGCAGTCTTCGCTTCTCAGTAAGTAGTCAGAACAGCAAATGAATGAAACAGAAAATAAGCAGACCGTTGAGAAGAATCAACAAAGCCAAAAATTGGTTCTTTGAAAAGATTAATAAAATTGATAACCTCCTAACAATACAGATTAGGAAAAAGGAAAACCACAAATTATTTCAGAATTTTTAGACATCAAAGGTAATAAGTTTTATGCCAATAAACGTGACAGCATGAAATGAAAATATTTCTTGAAAACTACAAATTATAATATTGATAGAAAAGAATATCCAAACAGCCATAAAGGCATAAAAGAAATAGGCTGTTATTAAAATTGTTTCCTTCAAGAAAATCTCCAGTGCAGATAGTTTCACCAGTGAATTCTTCTAAACAATTAGGGAAGAAATAACAGCAATGGGGCCAGCACTGTGGCGTAGCAGGTAATGCTGCCACCTTCAGTGCTGGTTCACGTCCCTGCTGCTCTACTTCCAATCCAGTTCTCTGCTGTGCCCTGGGAAAGCAGTAGAAAATGGCCCAAGTCCTCGGGCCCCTGAACCCACGTGGAAGACCCAGAAGAAGCTCCTGGCTCCTGGCTTTGATCAGCTTGGTTTCAGCCATTGTGGCCAACTGGGGAATGAACCAGTGAATGGAAGACCTCTCTCTCTCTCTATGTGCATTTCCTTCTTTCTCTGTGTAACTCTGACTTTCAAATAAATAAATCTTAAAAAAAAAATAAATAGCAGCAAATCTGTACAAAGTCTTTCAGTAAACAGAAAATAACAGAAGACTTTCTAATTCTTTTTAAAAATGAGTACAACCATGATGTCAAAAATTGACATGACTATTATAAGGAAGGAAAACAGGTAAATCTCTCATGAACACAGATGCAAAAGAAATTAATGCATTAGTAAGTAAAATATACTACTGTATATTAAATATATATAGAAAAGAATTTATTCCAGGGATATAATAGTTCAGGAAACAGATCATATAATCATGATCATCCAAATAGGTAAGAAAAAGCACCAAAATTCAGTACCCATTCATTAAACCTATTAGAAAATTCACAACGAACAGCCTACAGCAAACACCAGAGTCAATAGTAAAGTATTGAAAACTTACCCTCTGAGGTTGAAAACAAGACAGAGATGACCACTATCAGCACTTCTATTCAACATTGTACTGGAGGGCCTAACTAGTACAGCAAGGCAAGAAAAAAAACACAAATAAGGACTAGAAAGGGATAAATGTCATTATTCATAGAGGATATTATTATGTCCCAAAAAAGTCCAAAAGATTTTTAGACTAATTTGAATACGTGATTTATCTAGATTTCTGCATAATGAACACACAAAAATCAATTATGCTTCTATAAATCAGCCACAATTTTTTTAAAAAAGAAGTTATCTCAACAGCATTTTAAAAAAACAAGAAATCTAACATAAGATGCATTAAGACCTCTACACTGAAAATTAGAAAATATTTTTGAGAGAAATTAAGGAAGATATAAATATAGTTGTACCTCACTTAATGAGACAGGTATGTCCTGAGAAATGTGCTTCAGGTGATTTCATCATTGTGAAACATCAGAGTATACTTACACAAACCTAGTTTGGTATAGTTCAATCACTTGACCTGGCCTCTTGTTGCAATCAAGAGATGCAGTAAACATGCCACGTATAAGTATGAGGCTGTTGTTAGTGTAATAAGACATTCTGTTTTACGGTACTTTTAAAAAAATAAGTATGAGTATACTCTAAAATAACAATAAAAGTCTATAGAAATAGATAAATCAGTAACAGTTGTTTATTGCCATTATCAAATATTATGTATTCTACATAATTGTATGTGCTATACTTCTATATGACTGGCAACACAGTGGGTTTATTTACACAATCATCAACACAGACGCAAGAATAATGAATTGCACTACAAGGACATTATAATGGAGGCTATTATGTCACTAGGCAATAAGAATTGTTCAGCTACATTAGAATCTTAAGACTGCTATTGTATATGCAGTGTATAATTGACCAAAACGCCATCATGTGGCACATAACCGTAGATAGAAGGACATACAATGAGACACATTCTAAAGACATCAATTCTCCCCTAATTAAATGGTAGTTTCAAAGCAATCGTAATCAAAATTTCACTCCATCCTCCCTTTTAAAGAGAAATTGATAAGCTGATTCTAAAATCCCCCATGGAAATGCCAAGAGCCAAGAATAACCAATGTAATCCTGGACAAACAATAAAAGTTGGGTAATTTATACTCTTAAGACATTAAGACCTGTTAGAAAGCTTTAGTAATGAAAGCTGTATAAGTGTAGTAATTAAAACTTCCAATGGAAAACAGAGTCTAGAAAGAGTTATACACAAACAAGACAACTTGGTTTATGAAAAGGGCAACATAGCACTGCAATGAGGAAAGATAGTATTTTCAATAAAATATGCTGGGTCAACTGAATCACCTTATGGCAAATAATGGATCATGATCCCAACTTTCCACAATTTACAAAAGTAAATTCTAAACGGTATGTGAAAAATAAAGGGGGAACTACAGTAAAATATCTTTGTGTACTTGAAGTAGGCAAATATTTCTTAAATAAATACAAAAAGCTATAACCAAAACAAAACAAACTGATAAAATGGACTACATTAAATCTGCCATCAAAAGATAGATTTAGAAAGTGAAAAAGATGACAGGTATTTGGCACAGCAGTTAAATATGGCACTTGGGATGCCTGCTTCCATGTCTTGGTTTGCGTACTGGCTCCAATCCTGATTCCCTTCCTGCTAATGCAGGATGGAACACTCAACTGGTTGGATCCCTGCCACTCATGTGGGAGACTTGGTTTGACTTCCCAGATCCTAGATTTAGCCCCCAGTAAAGGACTTTCTACAGACATTTGGGGAGATCCCTGTAGGTAGGAGATCTCTGTCTCTTTCAAATAAAAATTCAAATTACAAATAAAAGGAAGTGCAAAGGTAAACAAAAGACAAGAAAAAATATTACTAATAATATACCTAATACTAAGGGTGAAGAGATATGATTTCTTAGATGGGGGCACAAAAACTGTGGGGTCCCAAAACTGAGGTTTGCAACAAGACCCCAGAGAATATCCCTATCCCCAATCACAAGATTAGTACTAAGGAAAAAGGAAAAGTGAGAAAAGAGAAGGGCCTGCCACTTTTAGACAAGATAGAGTGAAAGGAACTGAATTTACCTTCTTGCCTAAAATAGTTTAGAAATGTTAAAAATATTTAAAACACAAGTTTCAAGATACTGGATACAGACAACAAATAACAGTGAAATTGTCCCCAACTTCCTTTCTTAAAAGTCTTTAACCCACAGTGCAAGAAAGGGAAATATAGGCTGTACCTAGCATATTCACTGAGTTACAGAGAGAGAGCTGAGTCTGGTTAGGCCAAAGTGTTAGAAGAGGATTGAGTTTCACAGGGAGCAGCACAGAGAAACGACTTCAGAGAACTGCAGGGGATCCCCCTCTGGCAGTCAGGTGAAAATTGCTCAGTACATTGTGTGAGGAAACTACCCTAAGTCAAGGAAAGAAGCAACAAAAAGATTATACATACAGTGTCTAGAACTCATACAGGACCACAAACAGTACCTCTTCCTAACAATCAGACTGAAAACATAGAAGATCCTTCCAAAGTTAATAGGGAATAATTAGCCCTACACTGAGCACAGATGTAGTACTGCCTCATAAAATTTAAAATCAAAAGATGAAAGGATCAAATTGTTTTCACATAATTGCATCCCAGAGAGAGCTAAAAAATGCATAGAAGAATACAAAAAATGTTGAGAACACCAAAGAGTAACATTGATAGTATTGACAGGGGCAGGGTAGTTAATGAACAAAGGAGTAAAGAAGCTGCCAACTGTCTTCTTGCCTCAGCCCTGCACTGGTTAAAAACTCCACCCACCCCCATGCAGATTCAGCATACCCACTTTCCCATGAGGTACCTGAGCCTCCATTATGTCCACATGTATGCTGAGTTCTACATGGAAACTCCATGAGACCTTCCCAGAGATCACCAAGGGCTCTGAACCCTGCCCAAATTTCACCGCATTTGTATATTCAATCAGGGCACCAACCCTTTTCCGATAAAGCGGGCAACCAAACTTGGGTGGGGGCAATTCTCACTCAGGAGTTTGCCTGTATTAATTTCTGAATGTCTACTATCTCTATCTCTATCTCTCTAAATAAGCCCTGCCTCCCTTCTTGCACTTTATCTATGTCTTTGCTTTGAATTCATCTTTCACACCAAGAGAGAAACTTGGTATATATAAATCCAGCTGAAAATACCTTATTAGATTTACCCTACAACAATATTAGGCACCCAATTAAAAGTTACATACAACAGGGAAGAATTAGGAAAACAGGACCAATAACGAAGAAAAAGAATCAATCAAACTTGACCCAGAACTTACAAAGATGTTAGAATTAGCAGATGAGGACATCGAGGACATTAAAATAGTAATGACAACTTTAACATTCAAACATGAAAGAGAGTCACAGAAGGGTTTATTTTTTATTTTTTCATTTTACAGGCAGAGTTAGACAGTGAGAGAGAGAGAGACAGAGAGACAGAGAGAAAGGTCTTCCTTTTTCCGTTGGTTCACCCCCCAAGTGGCCGCTACAGCCGGCACGCTGTGCCAATCCGAAGCCAGGAGCCAGGTGCTTCCTCCTGGTCTCCCATGGGGTGCAGGGCCCAAGCACTTGGGCTATCCTCCACTGCGCTCCTGGGCCATAGCAGAGAGCTGGCCTGGAAGAGGGGCAACCGGGACAGAATCCGGCGCCCCGACCGGGACTAGAACCCGGTGTGCCGGCGCCGCTAGGCAGAGGATTAGCCTAGTGAGCCGGGGCGCCGGCCGAAATTCCCGCCTTTTGAAATCTTGTGTTGCGTGCATTCAGTAACAAATACTCCACATAAAGAAGTTGAGGATTTTTGTTTTAAAGATTCATTTATTTGGGGCCGGAGCTGTGGCACAGCAGGTTAATGCCCTGGACTAGAACCTGGAGTACCGGTGCCACAGGCAGATAATTAGCCTAGTGAGCCACGGCGCCAGCCCACAGAAGGGGTTTTAAAAAAAGATCTAAACCAAACTTTTAAAGATGAAAACTATAAAGTATGAGATGAAAAATACAATGGATGAGAATACCATTAGACTGCATTAGAAAAAAATAGTGAAAGTGAAGACATAGTAACAGAAATTAAACAAAATGAAGCAGAATTCAAGCAACCCATGTTGTGTCAATGTTGTGTCTACCTGCTTTTGGCAAGAGGGCGACCAATGCCAACTCTTAAATCCTTTGCAAGGTTGGCTTTCTCTAATAAAAAATATGTCCCTAAACACTAAATGATCAAAATCAGTTAGTTTCACTTATGGAGCTAAGGTAAATTAGAGACTTTGGGGCCCAGTAGGATTTAAGCCTAGAATTTTCTCCACTTCTCAGGGAAAAGGAAGGGAATATAGCTGTAGGTCCCACAAATACACACAAAACTTTCTCCTCTTATGTACAGTCAATACTGAAATTGTAAAACCAGATAATACCACAAAGAACTAGTCAATCTTCAAAAAAATATTTTACTGCTATCAATCATTGATTACATCTTATGTCTATCAGAACTCATTTCTTTTGATTTAGATGATGAATAAGGAAGCACTGCATAGTTTTAAGTTCTCTGAAAAACTAGGATAAGGAAGTAATACTGTAACACCTCCTCTTAGTTAACTAATTAAAAGCACAAGGATATTTAAGTTAGACGAGACTATCAAAACTTTAGCAAGGCAAGTTAGTCTTTCTTGGAGTTAAATCAGAGTGCCTGTACCATAGTCATCAGTTCTTTTTCAATCTTTTATCAAGAAGACATGTTCAACTACTAAAAATAATAATACATGTATATGCTAAAAATCTGGCCCTTTACTTATGTGTAAAAATTTCTAACAAAAGCCTAAGAACATAAAAACTAGAATCAACTTAGAATAAGATCAAAAGTATATACTGTAGGCCAGTGCCGTGGCTCAATAGGCTAATCCTCCACCTAGCAGCGCCGGCACACCGGGTTCTAGTCCCGGTCGGGGCGCCGGATTCTGTCCCGGTTGCCCCTCTTCCAGGCCAACTCTCTGCTGTGGCCAGGGAGTGCAGTGGAGGATGGCCCAAGTGC